GGGGGTGGAGGGGAATTGACTGACCTCTTGATGGTCGCTGGTTGTGTTGATGAAGAGCATGTCCAGGTGGAAAAAAACGTGTTTGAGGAATAAGTTTGATGATTTGAACAGCGAGACTGTGATACGTTGTTTCTTGTTTGAGTGATGATACGTATATGATGCGCTCACGGTATTGGTAAAGTGACCTATCGTTGAGCGGAAAAAAGGAGTGTTTGGTCTTTGAAGGTTTTTACATCTTGAATGTATCTCTATAAAGTAAAATATATGTTGCTTGTTGGCGTTTTTGAACAGATTTCGTTAGATGGTGGGATGACAGCCCTTGTATGTTTTTGGGTTGTTTTTTTCCCTGTGAGATATTCTAGTGTGGGTGGTTGGTGGGTGTTCTTGTGTGGTTTGCTCCTTCTTTCCTATCTAAACATCTATCTTCCTTATCTCTCCTCCTTTTTTTTTGCAATTATTATAAAGACAAAAAAGAAGGAGGGGAGATAAAGATGATAGATGTTTGATAGGAAAGAAGGAGCAGACCACACCAGAGCACCCGCCAATCACCCACGGTTGGCGTCTGCTCTTGCCAATGAGACCAGTTTTGGAAAAGAAGAGCTTGACACATTTTGAGTGTTTAAATCCCTCATTTCCTTTGGTGGATGTGCACAGCTTGCCATGCGGGCTTCTCTGCTGGCTTCAGCTTTTAAAAAAAGAAAGAAAGAAAGAATAATTAGGAAATGGTTTGTCTGCAGTGGTACTGGTAGGTTTTTTGAGGTTTTGAGTGATGGTCAGTGGATGGGCCAAGAGTTTCAATAGTGGGTGGTTGGCGGGTGTTCTGGTGTGGTTTGCTCCTTCTTTCCCATCGAACATCTATCGTCTTTATCTCCCCTCCTTCTTTTTTATGTTTGTTACTACTTTCTTGTGGCACCTCTAATCTTCTTGGGCTCATATGACCTTATGCAGTTGCAAGCGCTGTAAAACCTCTGCTAAAACTTAAAAAACTAGGAGGGGGTCGATGTTGCCACAGTCTGGGCTTACCTACGGCTGTCTCTTCCCTCACTTCCTTCCCAGTTCATGAGAGAGAGACACAAGGGACCCCCAAAATTTCACTCGTATTTTGTGTGTTTCTGTTTTACACTGTCCTTGCAGTTTGTTCAAACCATTTGTGGAATCAGGCTCTCGTCAAAATAATCAAAGTGAAGAAACTTGCATTTTTCCACACGTTTCTGAATTTTCAGCAAATTTTTGTTTTTTGGCTCAACATCTTTCATGCCCATTAAGGAACTCATTTCTGTGTGGATTTTTCTGAAAAACATTGTTTACAGGCACAAAAATGTAAATTTTCAGTTACCACAGACTCTTAAACTAAGGAAATAACTAATCTTTGGCGGCTATTTTCTCACTAATTTTACCTCTGAAAACAGGTGACCCCCATCTCCTTCTATCGCAAATATCTCGACTTGTATTCAAGATAAAGGGAAATTTTTTTGGTCCAAATAAAGACAAGTGAATAAGCTTTAAGATGATACCAATAACTCTACATGCTTAAAAATTGACGAGAGCCTGATTCCACCACGCTGCCTCACATTTGTATTTGTTGGGACAATTTATAAATATTGGAGTCCAGATAATCTCAATGTTTATTGAAAAGTACAATTTTTGTTTGAATGGAGAAAGTTCTTATGTCTTAACTCTTACTTTAATCCCAGAATTATTTTCCACGTTTTTGACGGAATTTTTTTCCAGATCTCGTGAAATTCGGGATGGAATATACACGCAAAATGTTCATAAAATGACTGAAACTATGGCAAAGTGAAAGAGGAAGTAGTTTAAATATTCATCCAACAATATTTGCGAGTAAAAATAAATCTACTCAGATTTATAAGAGATAAATATTCATCCAACATCATTTCCGAGTCAAAATAAATCTACTCAGATTCATAAGAGAATGCAATAGCGGCTATACTTCACCGTGCTTCACACGCCCTGTGGTCTGACCAGGCTCTGGGACCGTTCTCTCATGGACCGGGCGAGTTTCACAGGACACTCCCATCGCCGTCTCAGGGTTGTAGCGTTAAAAGATGCATGGTCAGAAACTTGTCCGCTGAAAAAATGCCAGCGTGTGTGTATCGCGGGCAGTATTGCGTACAGACATATCCTAGAGGCCGCCAAAAATGACTTGCGTCTGTATGCAATACTGCCTGCGGTATGTGTGTATGTGTGTGTGTGTCTGTGTGTAAATGTGGTTTTGGTTTTTGTTTTGAGTTTGAGTTTTTGTTTAACTGGAGTTTTTAGTTAAGTGCAATTTCTCAAGATGAGAGACCTCATCATCCGTGGTATGGAGATTGTATGAGACAGGAAGGTGGGTGGTTGACGGGTGCTCTGGTGTGGTTTGCTCCTTCTTTCCTATCAAACATCTGTCGTCCTTATCTCCCCTCCTTCTTTTTTGTGTATGTTACTCTCTTGTAACCCATAATCTGTTCTTCGGCACTTATATGACCTTATTGTGTTGCAAGTGTCGTAAAACTCGTACTAAAACTAAAACAGGAAGCTTTCCCTTTTGTTTCACTGCTTATTATTGCTGTTGCGCTGTTTGAGATTGGAGAGGATTTATTGGCTGTTGTTTCCTCACGCGTCAAACTGTTGTTCTTGAATCTGATGGCACTGTTGTTTTTTGTGGGAATGAATCTGTCACCATTTCAGATATGCGCAATTGTCCTGCCGTCTTCATTTTTCTATTTTGTTTCTTCGTATTGCTGTTTATGGGAAGGTGTTCTATTAATTTTGAATGACCGTAAAAGATGCTTTTGTGACATTTTTGTGTTTTAGAGACCTGTTATACTGAGTACTGGCGCGCTCATGTGACCTTATGCAGTTGCGAGCGCCGTAAAACTCCATACTAAACTAAACTGAGTACTGTTTTTGCATGTAAAAGACGTTGCACAGTTTCATGGAGTCAAAATAGGATTTTTTGACACACTGAAGTTATTTTTATCTGAAAATCATGCATGTGCATGCTTATACGCACACACACACACACACACACACACACACACACACACACACACACACACTCACACCCAGATACACACTCACACACACACACACACAAACACACACACACACACATACAAACACACGCACACACACATACA